TTTGGACCCTGGTTGACCTGATTCCTGTGACCTTGGGTGGGTCATTTCTCCTCCTCAGCCTCAGTTTCCTCATCTGCCATGGGATACCTACTGCACAGGGCTGTTGAGAGACTTTCTTTGCGGTGTCACAGCACTCCACAGGTATTTGTGACTCTCTTCATACCTTGTGTGGATACAAGAATCACTGTGCACACCTCTAAAACTGCCTTGCACATAAGAGATACAAAGGAATTAAAGCCACCTTTCCAGTAAGAGTCTCGGAAGAGGGCCTGATGGAGTTGGATGGAGACCGATACTTTGTTTTCCATTCGCTCTTCCAGTCAACAGTGTTTTTTTACACCGGCTGCTGGGAGAAGGCATCGCGGTATGGAAGGACGAGCCTGAGCTCTAAGGTCTGGCATATGTATTCTCTCTCCCCCTCTTCCTGGCTGTGTGACCCTGGGCAAGTCGCTTCATGTCTCTGAGCTTCAGGTTTCTTGTGTGTAAAATGTGGGTGATGATAGGACCTGTCACACCGGGTCGTTGGGATTACATGCGCCGGTGCGTGCCAACTGCTTGATATATGTCCTGGCCCGAAGGGGACTCCATACGTGGCCTATTCTCATTGTGGTGGGATTGCTACATACCAGCCCTGCACTAGGCAGACATAAGGGACCTGTGCCCAGGCCGAGGGAGCCCAGGTGCTGCACCCAGCCTGGGTGGTCCAGGAGGGCAGCCCAGGCCCAGAGCCCAGCAAAAGGAGAAGGAAGGATGTCCCCGGCAGGCGGAGCAGCACATGCAAAAGCTTGGGGTCTTGAGGGGGCGCCGTCTCCGTCTTTGGCCACACTTGGGCTGCATGTGGGGGAGAGGCAGGAGATGAGGCTGCTGAGTAGACGGACCACCCCCCGGGGACACTTTGTCGGGGAGTTTGACAAGGTTAAGGATCTTCCTCGAACATCCTTTCACTTCCCTTCAATAACCTGGCGTGGATCTATCATTCTGGTATTTATCTAAACCCTTGCTGGACCCATTTATATCCTCAGCCTCTCCAGCTTCTCAGTGTAATGAGCTCCAGATGTGGTGAGGGGGCCTTCCGAAACCTCTGCCTGGGGCCCAGAGGGTGCTGGGATTGGGGGGATGAGGGGGAACACTTACAGCCTGTTCCCCAACCTGCCTTCACTCTTACACAGGTCTAAGACATGGATTAGGGTCAGTGCTGGGCCCCCAGCGGCTCAGGGCCCCTATGGGGACCCTAAGTCCTGGGGCTGAGCATTCTGGATGCCATCTGTAGGCTCCTCATGGGGCACCCTTGAGATACTGGGCCCACTGTGACCATACCAGGAGAAGAAGAGGCAGCGAGGAAGCTCTTTCAACCCCCAAAGATAGCAGGAATATCCCCAAACCAAGCCAGAATGCGAGGACTTGAAAGGGCTCAGAAACCTTTTTGTCCTTCCATTCCCCGTTGTCAACTCAATTTCTGCTGTCTCCAGCCGTGTTCTCGCTGTTGTTCTTGAAATGACTCACTTTTCTCTTTACTGGAGCAAATGTATCAAGAAGGAAAGTCCATATCCCTGCCATAAATAAAACACCAAGATCTCTTGACACAAACAGAAGGTAACTGCAACTATAAATACAGCAGAAGCAGGACAGGCTGATCATGGTCCCGCTCAAGCCCGGCTAACTTTCAGAGCTGAGCCCCTGCAAAAGGAGGGAGTCTGGGACAGGGTTTAGAGGTGGGGGGCACAGGATGCAGGCCAAGAGTATTACAGAGCTGGCCGTGCTGGCGAAGGGGGGCTCACTCTCTAGACCTCATGTCGGGTGCTGGAGACTGACCCCAATCACCGCCAACCTCACGGCCAAGGCTACTTCCCTGGTACTTCCCGAGAGGGTAAAGGCAGGAGCCAGGGGTCTCCAGGTGAGGGGAGGAGCAGTGAGGGGAAGAGCAGCAGGTGAGGTGAGCAGCAGGTGAGGTAAGGAGCAGGAGCCCCAGAGGCAACTCTCCTTCAGGCCCTAGCCCGAGGCCGGCTTGTCTGCTGTCTATTAAACAGGCCAGCATGTTTCAAAAAGGTGTTCAAGTCTCAGAACCCCCAGGGGGTTTCCAGGGGATGGATGAGAACAGAAAAGGGAGACATGTTCTTCCTGTACTGACTTATCAAAGACAGTCATTCCCCACCCCATCTCTCCCAGACTGCCCCCCACCCGCACACCCGGCGAGAACACAAGCCCATTGAGGGGAGGGGACTTGTCCAAGGCAGCTGAACACCTGGGTCTCCTGCCCCCAGACTGACTTGCCTCCTCCAAATTCATTTTCACATACTTTTACAGGTTTTTTTTAAAAAAAAAAAAAAAAAAAACAAAAAAACAAAGACCAGGAAATGTTTTGAGATGGATGGGGGGAGTGGATCCCCAAAATTGAACAAGGAGGAAGCTACCTTCAGCCAACCTATGGTCTGGAGAAAGAACCACAGCCTCAGAAAGGCCCAGAGTTCTACCCTCTTTGCACCCCCAGTGGCGTCAGGGTGAATCTCAAGTTCTGGTCGTTTGGGAAATAACACCCAGGGAGAGAGGGCTGTGCACCAGCTTCGGGGAAGCTAGAAGCTTTGCGCGCCTATCCTGGGTCTGTCCCTGGTTGGCCACATGACTTTGGACAATTTCTTCACGGCTCACTGCCTCGGTTTCCTCCTTTGTAAAATGGGCATGACACAGTGCCTACCTCACAGCGTTGAGCTCACATAAGGTGGGCACGTAGCTGAGCCTAGGGCAAGCACTGTATGTGTTTGCTGCTGTTATTATCACCGTTATTGTTATTATGAAGCACAGGGAAGAACTGAAGGGACTAATATTTACTTTGTTAGGGTAAGGCCAAGCACTGAGCTTGTGATTTTCATGCTTCATCTAGTGCCTTCCTCAGCACCTTTCTAGGAAGGTGGGGCGACAGGGCTCCGAGAGCAAAGGTGATGTGCCCGGGGTCTCACCACTGTGGGCTTCAGCCCACATTCTGGCTCTGGCACACGGGTGCTCACTGCGTGAACTCCAGCAGTGTGGGGCAGGGGACATGCCACGGAGGGAGCTGAACCAGCACAGCCCAGGGCTCCCGGGTGTGGGCGGGACTGAGGAGCTGGCCCAGGAATTCCGGGGGAAGAAGTTTGCACTTTCTCCCACAGGCGCTGGGGAGCCACCAGCGGGCCATGAGCAGGGAGTGACATGATAAAAGGGGTGTTCGGGAGAGGTCTGGGAGGCTGCGGTTTCAGGATGGATGGGCGGTGGGAAGGTCCGGAGGGGAGGCAGGAAGCTCAGCTGGGCGGCTGGACTGGGAAGGTCCCCCGAGAGATGCACGGGGAGCCTTCACTTAGACTGACCCCAAAACCGAGGGGGCCAGGCCCTGCCCAGTCAGGACCCAGGAGTTGGGGTGCTGAAGGGGCCCTAGAGACCGAACCTCCTTCCCCTTGCCAGTTTGCAGCTTTATCTGGGAGTCTCCGGAGGGTGCCCCAGCTGGGTTGAGCAGGCCTGGCTGCCTGCAGATTTATGAGGTGTGGGGGAAGCAGGCTGGGGTAGGCGGGGGCGTGTGAGACGGGTCTGCTGGGAAAGGGGAGAGCCAGAGGATGTTCTGCAGCCAAGGACGTGCTCTGACCCCACTTCCACCTGGGAACCCAGCTGACCCCCAGCTACCCACATGCCCCGAGCGCCTGCCCTGGGCCAGGCTGGAACATGGCACCTGCTGCCTCAGTTTCTCTTCACAGATACCCTGAAGGATGAGTAGAAAGGGGCCACCTGCAAGAATCTCAGACAATGGGAGGCTGTCCCCAACACTAGATTACCAAACTGCTAGTAGAAAGAATGCCCTGGAACCTTCTCTCTGAACCAGGGTCAAAAGAAGTCTATGAAACATCAAAAGCAGATTAGAAACAGTACTTTGAGTATGATTCTGCTTGTGGCTTTCAAAGGGATAAATATGCATTTAAGCGTCTCTGTGTAGATTTGATGCACCGAGGAGTGTCTAGTTGTGACTACCCTGCGAAAGAGCTTTGACTTTTCACTTTATACCCTTTATGTTGCTTCACTGTCTTATAATAAGCAATATGCTCTTTTTCACTTAAAAGCTGTATTTTTAGAATTCAGGATAATGGCAGGGGGTGGCGTTGGAGAGAAGGCAAGCGCCCTCTCGTAGCTCATGGGGGATGGGTGGGCTGCTGTGGTCAGGGACTGACGGTGCACAGGACTTGGGGCATTCTCCCTCTGCTGAGACTTCCACCCTCTCGGAGACCCCAGCCCCCTAGGGACACCCTGCTGACCCTCACGCATTAGCTCCTGGGCTAACACAGGAACAGACAGGCTCTAGGGAATGCTGAGACAAATCGGGCCAGTCCAGGAGCATCCCCCCAAAACGGTGACCCTTAAAGGGTGATGAGATTTGACTAGATGAGGAAGAGAGCAGAGGGCATTTTAGAAGAAAGCTACACCTAGACTCTGGTTATCTGGAGTCGGGTGTGAATCCAAATCCTTGCTCTTTAACTTAACCAGCTCTGAGTCTGAGTTTTCTTACCCACGCAACGGGGATCCTGATGCCTTTAAAAACCAGGTTCTGCTCATTATGTGTGAACTATTGCATTTTAGGAAATTGGGGGTCTCAAAAGTTGGAGGTTCGCCCCAGAGAACTTGAAAGCACCCTGCCGGATGTCTAGAACCCCAACCTGGAAAGGGATTGGTAAGGGAGGATGGTGTGCGAGGACATGGAGGCAGTTCCTTCGAGCAGGGGGCTTCTGGGCCAGGTCACAGACCGCCCCTAGGCCAGTGGCCCCGCAGGGCAGGTGTCTGTTGGCAGCTGGCACTATGGGTGCTGCCTCCACTTGGGGTTTCAGGACATCGCAAAACAGGACACCAGTGTCCAGCCACTAGTTCCCACACCAGATACTGCGGCAGATCCTGACTCCCCTCTCCTCAGGGCCTTTGCACATGCTTCTTCACCTGCTTGGAGCATTTTCTTCCCCATTCATTTTCTTTCTTCCTTTCCTTTTGTTTTTTAGACCATGGAGCGCTTCACCAATTTATGAGTCACCCTTACCCAGGGGCTATGCTAATCTCTGAACTGTTCCAATTTCAATGTATGTGCTGCCCAAGCAAACACTGTCCCCCATTAATTTACTGGCTTACTTTCTCCCCTGCCTCCCAGGAGTCTTGAGAGGTGGCAGAACAACCACTAATGACCCAAGACCTTAAGCAAAAAAAAAAAAAAACAAACTTTGGCCTCACTGAACCACAATTTGCACAACTATAAAATGAGGACACCAAGGCTCTCCCCTATGTGCCCCTCGTGTGCTCCTTGTACCCCTTGGTTGTGGGGGTACCTGCTACCCTTTATTATACTTCCTGGCAGTTCGTGCTCTTGCTCTCCACCCCTGCCTTCATTGTCTGCAGTGAAACACGCCCCAGTCCCTCCTGGTGGAGGTTCTGGCACTTGTACAGCCTGGGATAAAATAGATGCTCAGTGAAGCTCTGATGAATGAATGTCCAGATTTCAGAATTGTTCTAAGAAAAGCCTGAGACTTTGCAGGTGAAAGTGCCTTGCACACCGGGAAGCATGTGCCCGACCCCACTGCTGTCATCTTCAAGGAGGCTCAGCCCATGGCCCCCTCCACGCCAGCCACCTTCCGTGGCTCTGTCCCCAGCTAGCCCACCAGGCATCTCTGAACCTTTGGGCAGAGAATTCTAATCAAAGAAGTTCGCACCCCACCCCCACCCCCATTGTGTGCTGCCACATGCTTTTGAGGAGGTGTGGGGAATGTTCTCACAAGGGGCAATTAGCAGCTGGCCTTGAAGCTCCTCTGGAGGCACCCCCAACACAGCCACACTCGCCTGTCTTCCATGGCGATCATTGGCCTGCAAAGCCTCCGAGCTCAGTATCCCATCCCTGCAGCTCCCTCTGCCCGTCCGCCAAGGCTTGTGTACCTCACAGTTTTCAGATACATCCAGGTATCTAATTTGCTGTAGATGCCAAACCTCTGAGGCAGGTGAAACAGCTGTGGTGGCTTTAGGACCTTCTGATGACAGCCTTGGGGGAGTAATGGTGTAGCTACAAAGAAGGGTCCTGTTTTCCTAGATTAGGAAATGGCAGCTCAGAGAGGAGAATTCATTCACCTAAGGCCACACAGCTTAACCCATGGTCAAGCCAGAGGGCTCCAGCTATCTCTGGAACCTGTGGTCTTGCCAAGAGCAGGTCCATGGCTGATCCAGGCCGGCTGCCTTGCTATCATCTAGAAAGCTTGTGGAAAATATAGATTCCCAGCAGCCAATTGCCAGCCGGTTCCTGAGATTCTAATTCTTTCTGTCTTAGAGGGGTAAGGAACAGCCAGAACTAGTGTTTTTCAAAAGCTCCCGCATCTATTGTGTGCACAGCCAGCTGCTCCCCTGTGCCACCACTGATGTTAAAGCATCGCAAATTATGTGAAGAAACAAACAAAGGGGGATGAACACGCCAGCGCTGGCCACGGTCATGAGGGAAGGAGGGACGGTGGGGCGAGAGGATTATTTTGTACTTTACATTTTCTTCTGACTTTTCTTCATTTTCCAAATTGTCTTTAATGAGCACGTATTGCTTTTCTAATGAGAAAAAATAAATAAGAATGTGGAACTGGGACACTTTGGAGGGGGGCGAGGAGCACAGGCTCGCACAGACCTGGGTCAGTGCCGGCTCGACCCCTCCCCGGGCTCATGGCCTTGATCTCCTGAGCTGTTTCCTCATCGGTAAAGGGCGACTGGAAGGGTTAAGTAAGGTGACTGCTGGAAAAGTGTCCTCCCTCCCTCCCCCCCCATTCCTCCTGGCCACGACCCCTTACTCTGGATGTCCTTTCTGCCAGTGTCCAGTTGGGGCCTCCTCCCTCCTCGAGCCTGAACCCTCAGAGACTGGGCCAGCAGGGCCTCTGGAGCCACCTCAGTCATTTTACAGCTGGGGAAACTGAGGCCTGGAGTGGCAGGGACTTGGTTGCTGGCCCTGGTACCCAGACACGTAGGGGCGTTCTTGTGATTGCTGCACCCCCCTCTCCCCGCCAGTGCTTGCTCAGTATGTGTGAGGGGCAGCAAGTCACCATCTGTGTTTTCCAATAAAAGAAAATGAAAATTGAAGCACATTAAAAATAGCTCAATTGGGATTCCAAGCGGGGCTCTGAGGCCTGCTGCGGCAGAGCCGCCCAGCCTGCCTCCCCCACCCCCAGCCTGGCACCGGCGCCACCAGGAAGTCATCTGAGGCGAAATTCTCCTGGGAGGGGCCAGAGTGCGGCCCCCATTGGGACCCCAAATTCTAGAATCCTGGAGACTGGTCTCCTGAGTCTTAACTGGGGGCAGGAGAAGATGGGTTTAGAGCCAAAGACAACCTCACTGGACAGACTCTGGGTGACCCTCCCCCAAGCCCCCAGGACCCTCAGCTCTAGCCTGCTTCCTGAGGATGTCATGGGGCCGGGGGTGGGGGGTACCCCACAGTCGAGAGGAAGGCACACTGGACTGGGGTCCTCCAGCAAGCTGGGAGCCTCTGGCCACTGCCTCCTCTTCACGATGGGGAGCCACAGGCCAAGGGAGTGGTACAGGGGGCCTCTGAGGCCCCTACCCCCAGCTTGGCCCTTCCTGCCTGTGTGACCTGGGAAACTCCTTCCTCTCTCTCAACCTCACTGTGCTTGTTGAAATGAGGATGATTTAGAAGTTTCCTCCAAGGGGGATCGTGAGAGGGCAAAATGAGATAGCAGCAAGCTCTTAGCTCGGTGCCCGCCTTGCCGTTGTTAGAATCATTCTCATGGCTGGTTTCTGCGAGGTGGGAATGGGAGGCTGTGCAGGAGGAGACCTGGGTGACTTCCTAGGAACCGGAGTGGGCTTTGCACCAACCCCAGCTGCTTGCCATGGGGGGCACTGGCATCCACCCCAGGGTGCTGGTTCCCAGGTTCTCAGAGCCCTCCACCTCCCCTGAGGCCCAGTTCTCCTGGGCCTCAGGCACTGTGCTGACCTCAGGAAGATAAGGGGCACCATTCCTCCCCACTAGCCCAGAGAATGCTGGGGTGGGGGGAGCCCCCCTCCTGTAGCAGAGATCCACTACCCGAGAGCCTGTCGGAGCGGGGTGGCCTGGGAGTGGCCAGTGCAAGCAGAAGCCAGTCCACATCCTACTCGACGGCCTCGAGCAAGTTGCCTCACTCCTGAGACTCATCTGTAAAGTGAGGCTGGTGGTAGTTCCCAGGCTGTGGAAAGATTAGGTCCCTGGCAGGGCTTGGCATATGGTGAGCACTAGGTGAACTGTGACCCCAAGAGTAGCTCGCCCCACCCTGTCCCCTCACCCATCCAGAGCAGAGATGGTTGCTGAGCCCACGGGTGTCTAGTTACATGCCTTTATGGATGGGCCGGCCAGGAGATGCTGGAGGGGAAGGCTCTCCTCACTCACACCTGTGAACCCCAAGTACCCTTCCACTGCCCTCTCTCAGCAGAGGGGCTGGGCTTTTCCTTAGCCATGGAGGTGAATGAATGTGGGGGCAGCAGGGATAGGAGTTGATCATTATGGATGGTATATTTGTTCCTTATTGCTACTGTAACAAACTATCCCAATCTCAGTGGCTTTTAAACAGCACACATTTATTACCTTATAGCTCTGAAGGTCAGAGTCATAAGTGGGTTTTGTACTGGCTGAAATCAAATTATCAGTGGGGCCAACTCTCTCCAGAGGCTCCAGGGGAGAATCGCTTCCTGGTCTTTCCCAACTTCCAGAGGCTGCCTGTGTTCCTTGGCTTGCAGCCCCTCCCTCGATCTACAGAGTGCTCACTCCAATCTCTGCTTGAAGCCTCGCCCCTGCTCCCTCACCCTCCCTCCTGTCTTTCTTTTGAAAGAATCCTTATGATTCCATGGGATCCACTGGATAATCCAAGATATCTCCCTGTCTCAAGATCCTTAACTTAATCTCATCTGCAAAATTTCCATTGCCATGTAGCATTCATGGGTTCTGGGAATTAATGTGATGGTATCTTGGCAGGGAGGGGGTGTCATTATTTTTTCTACCACAGACAAGAAAGCTAGAGTCTGCCTTAGCCTTGACCGGAGGGCCTTGGCTAATAATAATACAATATCACAACTTCCATTTGCTCAGTGACTACTTTGTGCCAAGTTGTGTAGAAATTTGGGTTATAACAGCAGTCGCTATTTTACCAAGTACATGCTAAGCACTTTCTATGCAAGATCTTACCAGTTGTCACCTTCACCTGCATCCCACAGCTCAGGAAGGGAAGGAAGTGACCTGCCTGAAGTCACAGGGTCTGGAAGGGGGGCTCAGATGTAGATCTGTTGAGCCCAACTCCCAGCACCCCAGGGTACACACTGCGATATGCTGCTTCCCTGGCATTTGAACTCAACGCCTGGGTTCACTGCCAGGCCGCCCCCCCTGCATCACCCACTGAGACGGTGAGCTCTAGTACTGCTGGCTTGCAGGTCACCCTCACCTGTCTGTTGGCTCCTCTCAGAAGGGACTGTGACTTTGGCAGGCACACAGTAGGTGCACAGCCAGGGAGTGTGTTCAGATCAGAGGCAACAAGAAGAGGTGTGGGTGTATGCTTGAGCCATCCTGTGTCCTGGTGACCAACACAGGATGTTGTTGGCCCTGGCCTTCCTTTCTGAGACTTGTCATCTGTAGATTGGGGTTCCTGTTGCATTTTGTCCCCTGTGCAGACCTCTCAGTGGGCACCAACCCATAGAACCCTAAAACCAAGCCTGTAGGTACTATTGCTCTGTGCTCAATGCCCAGGCTCCTGGGCCAGTTGTGTCTTTCTGACTCTCAGAGAACTTTCTGGGGCCCTCTCTAGGTCTGGGTCACTCCAGTGTTAGGTCCCACTCACTGCTACCTCGCCTTGGGATCTTGGTCAACCCGCAGGCAGCCTCTGTCTTCCCTTCTCCGTGTCAATCACTACTTGCTGCCTCAGCCTGGGTGTGACCCCTTCACCACCTCTGCACAACTGAGAAGGAGCCTCCCACCCTGGGGAAGCCTCTCCCTGCAGGGGCAGAGGAAGGGAGGGGCCTAGGTATGGGGAGCCAGCACCTGTCCCCCTTGTTCATTCAGCTGCAGGCTCAGGCAGGATTTCTTAGAAATTCCCTGTTCCTGGCATCTTC